AAAAAAAGGGCATTTAATTGCGTGTAACAGTAATTTCAGTGCTGGTCCCACTGAGGCAATCAGTGCCCGGGCATGGCCAACAAAAGCCACACGATCAGGAGCGGTGCCCGATCTTTTCCAGCACTGGGTCGCAGCTGCAGGAGAACTGCACAAAAGGCGAGTTATGCCAGTTTGCTGGCACCCGAAGACAGGCGAATCAGATCGCCTGGGGATGTTCCTGGAAGGTAAGTTTCAAGCAGTTTTTATTTGTTTTGCAGTTACACATCTCTGCATAATAAATAGTTGGAAAATTACTATGCAGATCAAGCAGATTGCAGCTTCCAGGTTAACCCCGAAAATGCAAATGGCAGAGTGTGAAGGAGTAGGAGAAAGTAGCAGTGTAGACTAAGGAAGGTGAGAGCGAGATAAGACGTTTTGATCCACTAAGTCTCAACGAACACTGAAACAGTATTTGTATGATCATTGTTTCAGCCACACGTTCCAATGGAATGCAAGGGAATGGATAATTCTGAAGTACGTCTATTACTGTCTTTTTTGTGCGTTTTATGTTGTGTAACTGCGTTACAAAGCGCATATTGTCACGGGATTGTCTGTGTGTGTGTTTGTGCGTGTGTGTCCCACATTTTGTCCCGCACTTTCAATTCAGGAACCAAAAAAGCTAGGCGGCTGAAATTGTGGTATGGTGTTCCCCGCCAATGGGTGACGCGGCAAATTTAAATTCAGCCTTCCCGTACCCACGGTTAACACTTACGGCCGCGTGAAATTTTTTTACGGGTAAATTAGTATCTCAGGAACCAAGGAGTCTAGGAGGCTGAAATTTTAGGGTAATGACCCCTTGCCCACGCTTAACCTTGCTTATTCAAATTCAGCGTTCCCTCGCTGTTGAGTATCACCTACGGCCTCGTGAGGATTTTGGCGGTTAAACTATTAACTCGGAGATCACGGAAAGATATTCACCCTTTAAGGTTTCGAATTCAGCTTTCATGCGCAGGTGCGCGAAATTTTTAACTATTTCT